CAGTGTGTGCCCTTGCGCAGCTGGGAGCTGAGAGCGCGGACAGCATCGGCGCCGTCCTCAACAGTAAAGATGACCAGCGCGAGATCGCCGAGACGAGAGAGACCTGTAGGTCGGTATCGGGGCGCGACTTCCCTGAAGTTAAGGGGGTTGGTACTTAAAAGTGCGATAGTTTTTTTGTTTTGCGCTCCACGGAGCAAAATAAAATCTTAGCGTTTATTTACGTTCCGTTAACGAGGTGGCTGAAAGCCGTTACTCGGGTCTGATCGTTGGATAAGGGGCGCGGGGTGTAGTCGTTCCCTTGGAGTAGCAGCTGGGAAGTCAGGGTACCTTTGGCTTCCTGTGCTACAAAGCGCCTGTGGAGCAGAGCTGAGGGGTGGGTTCAGAGGCTGCCCTCTGCTTTGGCCTGGGGCCTTTATGTACTTGCTAAGAGCAGGTACAGGGCTGTTTAGTTTAAAGGTTCTTACGGAACAATAGATATGTCCTGATACCCATGTTTGAGAGGGTGGTGAGGCACTGGCACAGGTTGCCCAGAGAAGCTGTGGATGTCCCATCCCTGGAAGTGTTCAAGGCCAGGCTGGATGAGGCTTTGAGCAACCTGGTCTAGTGGAAGGTGTCCCTGCCCATGGCAGGGGGGTTGGAACTAGATGGTCTTTAAGGTCCCTTCCAACCCAAACCATTCTGTGATTCTGTGTCTAGGAGAGAGTAGCTAGTGCTTATTAATTCTCATGCGTAACAGTGGTTTTCTTGTGTGAGCAGGCTTAATTCTGTAGATATACTGTTTTGGTTAAAATAAGCTGTACCTTTTAGAATAACAAAATGAGGAAGCGAGGTACCCATTTTCAGGAGCCTTTCCTTAAGAAGTTGTGATGGACTCAAATACAATGAGAGAGGAACAACTTCTTATACAGTTTAAAAATAATTTCAGACTTGTAACAGAAACATGTAATCATGGCAGCTGATGCAAGATTTCTAGAATGTTCTCTCTGGAGAAAGAAACTGTTCTGTATGAGGATTTTTAAAAAATCTTTATAGGGCTGCTTATGATACTTCTGCACCAAATGCAAAACGCAAATACCCAGATGAGGGAGAAGCTGATGAGGAAGAGATTGAAGAATACAAGGTAAGAAAAAAAGGGAAAAGATACTTTTCTGTGTTGTTTGTGTGTCTCCGAGGGACTTATAAACATATGTGTGTGCATATAAATAAAAACAAGTGTGATACCTATAGATGCTTTAATCTGTGTCCCTCAGTGGCATCTCCTCCGATGTCTTCCACTGCGGAGATCCAAGGGAGGGGGCACAGACGCCAGGTGGTTCTCTTCAGATGTGGCTCAGGTGTGTTGAACTGTGTGCACACCAGAACCCAATCTTGGGAGGCTGAATTTAGTGCCGCTCCTAGCAGGAGCATTTCTCAGGAGGCACAGGCCGTTGGGTGAGCCACAGGGAGTCTGAGAGTGTCTCCTCTACTGCCTGTCAAGTGCAAAGGAATGCAGTTGTGGATGAATGGAAGAAGTTAGGGATTCCAAGGCAACAGAAGTAAGAGGTTTGTAAAAGTAAGTGCTTTAAGTATCCAAAATATTCAGGGAAAAGTTCAGTTTAAAAGAAAAACACCCCACCAAACTGCCGCCGTGGTTGTTGAAGAAAGGGTGGTTGTCAGGCTGTCGTGCCCTTTTCAGATCTCTTCAAGTACTCATCCAAGAGCTGTTTGACAGCTTTCTCGTTTCATATCCAATGTGATGTTTTGGCTGAGTGGCAGGGAAAGGAGGTTCAACAAAGGCACAATTATGATACAGCTGTCTTTCGGATTTGCTTGTGATCTTGTTGCAGCTTATATCCTCCCCCTCCTTTTTAAACTTGTCCTAATAACCTTGCTTCTGTGGTTAGCTAGAATCCAGGTCAGCGCGTTTATGAAGTAATGCAGCGTCTGCTGTTCTCTTGGATGCCTAAAAATAGTATCTCTTAAACAGGAGACTTTTGTAGCGTTCCCTTTGTGAATCTCTTTGTGATAACGTGTGTCGTAAGTCTGTCTTCCTAAACCAAAAGGTGAGTGCAGGACGGGACACTTTTTGATGGTAGTGTTGGAAGCCCATCTGTAACGGACAGGCGTCCGCACTAACGCCCCGAGCGTTAGCCCCTGCATCTTGTTTAGCGAACCAGCTGGGGCACCATCGCCAGGGGTTTGCGGAGTACACGCACCGTTCGTGAGGCGGGGTTCTACGTTCACGTTAGCTGTCAGTTCAGGTCACTTGGTTTTACTCCTTCACCGAGTATCCGGATATGCAACTATTTTTTTTTCTATGAAATACGTGTGGATAAGTCACTCCAGTTGGCAAAGCGTACGAACCTTCCCATGAATGTTTTCCTCGTTAGCATGGAGAGGACGTACCCTGAGGCGGACTGTAAGCACCTGCGAGTGGCCCTTCTCTTGCTGTATTGTTGGAATTGAAGAATGTTTGGATAATACTAGCTCGGACCAACTTCAGTCGAGCTGATGAAAGGATTTAGGAAACTTGAAACCCCAAAGTGGAACATCTATAGTGGAGTTGTCAGCTGTTTTCACAGACATTGCTAATTCCCTCTTGGCAAGGAGATAAGAATTTAGTCAAATCCCATCTGTATTTGTGTAATTTTTTCCTTAGTACTTTGAGCCTGTTTAATTTTAGGCATGTAATATGAGCAGATAGAAAAATCTGGATCATTATGGTATGGAGGCCTACTGGATTGTGTTTAATACTCCTTAGACTATAGTAATAGTAGAATTAACTATTAGTGCTGCAGACAAACACTGAAAAAAGTTTGTCACTTTGCTTAGGAAAATGAGAGGTATTTCTGACACAGCGTGGTGCCTCTCAAACCCTGACCTGTAGTGTTGGGTTCTGCCCCATGGTATCGGTTCATCCTTCTAAAGTGGCTTAAAATCTTTGCGCCCTGACTTCAGATTTGGTGGAAATGGATGTGTCCTCAAACCTCAGCTGCTCTAGCAGGAGCCTGAGCATCTCACTGTAGCTGGTGGTGAAGATGGTTACTGTGAAGGTACGACATTGCTGTTCTGCGGTGCAGCGTGATGGCTCGAGGTCTGCCGGGGGAGAGCGTGCGGATGTGGGCATGAGACCTTGACGTGGGTGTTTTAGAGGATTTCTGTCAGTTTCTGGTGTTCCAGTGGAAAGGGGACTGGTGTTTTGAGAGAGGGCTGAAGAGTGACACTGCCTCTTTCTATGGGGGGGAAGTGTGAGGGCACTTTTTTAAGTAGAAAATGAGCTATGTTAATCTTCTCAGGCTTTAGGAGCATCTGATGCAAAAAAAAAAAAAAGGGCAGTGTTTTATTTCTTTTTTTCTGTGGTTTTGGTTTAATTTTTTTAGTAGAATACATATAAATGTATAGTGACCGTTCTTAATAAGCATCAGGCTGATATGAAAATCCAGGGCAGCAAGGCGGCTTGCTGAGATTTCTCTTTTGGAGCCTGACTCTGCATTGCAGACCACAGAGGTGGGAGATAGGGGAAGAGTTGTATTGTTGGCAAAAATGAACAATGGATACTTCAAGGTCAGAATGTTGAACTGTGGCTCTAAAGAACTTCTACAATACTCTGTGTGGAACTGTAACAGTTGTTTTTGGGTTAGCTGAAACAATGTCTGTAGTTGAGGTGACAATGGGACCTGACTGCTGTCACTCCCAGGCTCTTCATGGCCATCTGAGAGCTGTGGTTGTTGCTCCACCTCTCCCCTTCCCAGGGAAATCTAAATTGCTGGAACCTGTACGTTAGAAACCTGTCTGGCTTCAACAGCGTTTTGTGGCAAAGGGTTCCAGAGTTTTACCTTGGCATGAAGTGCAGAAATACCTGTGGTTCAAATTTGCCGTCTGCCAGCCGAATTTGATAGAGCCCTGCATCACTTTGTTTCTGCAAGCAGTGGCCTGCAAGCTTGGAACACTTCCCTGCCCTTCTTCCGGCGGCTGACAGTCTTACTTGGTTGAATCAGAATTGCTTAATGTATCTCTAGTCATTTGAAAGAACTATGTGCTTGAATATTGTGGGTAGTTGCTGTTTCCCTAACTCAGCAACAATACACCAGATTTGGAAAACAAGGATGATTAGTGTGCAGGAACCTACTGTCTTGTAGTGCTGTTGATTTCATTCTGTCTCTGCTTGGACCGTGTCCTTTTCCCTTTGGAAGTTGGTGGTGTGGGCTTTTTGGCTTTTTGTCTGTGGCTACAACAGTTGTGGGGTTTTTTAATCAGGAAGACATAAAGAGGACTGGGATGACTCAGAAGTAGGTGTCTGACAAGTGCTTATCAGCAGAAGGCTAAGATTTGGAGGAAGATGGAACAGGGGAAACAGGTGTAAGCTTACGATGGCGTAAGCAGTTTTTAGTAAAACACAAGCTTTCAGCTTTTTTTTTTTTTCCTGAATAACGCTGCTGTCTGTCTGCTGTTCCTTCCTTTTCCTTGTAAACACTGTTGCTGTTTCTGATTGTCGTCTTTCTCTTTTTGGTCTGGTTGGAAAAAAACCCCAATCCCATAAAAATAGTGTATCTTTAAGTTCACCTGAATAATGGGGAGGGGGTATCTGTGACCTATTAATCACAGTTTATGAAATGCCTGCATTTCAGAGCTCCACTCTGGAAAGAATGCAGAGCTTATTCTAAGATTTCAACATTTATAGGGATCAAAATAGGGAGAAAACTTAATTTTTCATTCTGTATTGACAGCTTATGTGGCATAGTGTAAACGCAGCAGTAGTAAGAGCCTCTTCACCTTTTGACTGAAGGTGTGTGTTGGGGGGAGAAGTAGAGCTCTTTTCTATGAGAAATCTGGTTCTCCGTCTTTCCTTTTCTTTCAGTGTGTTAAAATACCTTTTTTTTTTTTTGTAATATTTCAGCCTTGAGACTGCTTTTCTCCTCACATGAAGCAGCGTATGAACTGATTCACATTTCCGTTGTCATCAGTAATGTATGAAAGAGCATAGGCATCCTACTAAAATATGGTAGATCATACTGTTGTGTGGCTGGTCAGTTTTACTAATGTATGGGTTGTCTGTGGATCAACAACAGAAAGTGACATGGAGAAGCCGGTCTCTTTTTTTGTTTCTGCTCCGAGTTCTGTGTAGGATGTTCCGAGCAGGTCAGTGTGACAGATCTGAGTTCCAGAAATCTGCTGAGCAGTTGGTGCCACACTAAATGGGGGCAAATGCAGTACAATTCCTGTTTTCTGTATGCTTTGAGACTACGAAGCGGGTGTTTTACAGTTACTTTTAAGCACAGTCCATGTGCTGTTTCTGCAAAGTGTGTAATTTAACAGATTTATATAGAGAAGATGGTTTCAGCTGCTTTGGTGGGAACAGAAGAGATGATTGAGTGGATATAAATGTTCAACGGTTCTACTGCAGAAGGACTTCAACAAAATACATCATTTGCTTTAGTCCAAGGAGAGAGATTTTTGGGAGACAGATATTGAAAGTTCTGCACCTGGTAAAGCACTGCCAGGGTCTAGAAATAAAAGGTTTCTTATTCTGCTCTTCTTTCAGAGGCCTTTCCCAGTAACAGTCTCCTCATTAATGAGAGAGGGGCAGACCTTTTTGGGAATAGGTAATTTTTTTTCCCCCTCCAAAACTGGAGAAGGAACCATTCACGATCTCAAGCTCCAAAAGACATCGCTTTGTAAACAGCCCACTTCTTTCCTTAAGAAGCAGAATCATAATGAGGACAGAAACAGCATGATCTTGCACACATGTAGTGTCTGCTTTATTTCCAAGGATGAAGTAGAGCTGCAGCAAGATGAAGAGAACCTGCCCTATGAAGAAGAGATTTACAAGGATTCCAGTACCTTTCTTAAGGTGAGCTGCCTGTGCAAGTAGAGGTCTAGTGTAGTGATGCTGAACTATTTCTGCAGTCGGTGGTATCTGAAATACAGCTTTAAAAGCTGAAGAAATTGACTGGAATTCACAGGGGCGGAAGTGTCCTGTGAAAGATAGGGACTATAACTGGTGTTTACATTGATCTGATTGAAGATCTGCATCAAGTTTAAATGACCCATAGTAATGCTGGAATTAAAACCACAGTGAGAGTCTTGACTAGCGTAGCTTATAAAGGCATGTTGGAAAGGGGAAAAGAAGTGTTACGTTCTCATTTATCAGATGAACACGTGCAGTCTGTGTGTGTGCAGTTGTTTCCCTGCTGCTCTCGCTGAACTCCCTTTTGTTCCTCAGGGTACTCAGAGCTTAAATCCACACAATGATTACTGCCAGCACTTTGTGGATACAGGACACAGACCCCAGAACTTCATCAGAGATGTTGGTATGTCACAGTTAGTAACTGTTGGAAGATCACTGCGTTTATTTGATAGCTCTCCTTTTTCTTCCCCTTTTGAATTCCTTACAGTTACTGGGAAATGTAGATACACATATACTTCATGGTTTTGTCTCTCTGTGTGCAAACGTATCAATATGTAAATGTATATGAATGATTTTATTTTTCATAAGTTAGGAGGTAAATATTACTAAGGCTCTTCTTACTCTTAGTTTTATCGGGAAGTATTTAACCAGGAAGATTCTTTTTCAAAACTAAACTCCTTTGGTTCCAGAAAGTAGATGATTCTAGTGAGCAGGTCTTGAAACTTTTGGGAGCTTGACTTACAATCCAGCTGATCCCCAGACTGTGTTGCCTCCAAGAACGCATGTAGCATGTGGAGCACAGACAGTACTCTGGACAGTATTTACCAGCTCAATTGTGAAACTGCTGACAGCTCATTAGAAGGCCTAACGTGCTGTTACAGAGTTTAGAGGATGCTGTTTTTCAAATTCACATTTATCCAGCCACCATGGACCCTGTTACTGAAATCTTACTTTATTAGGCCTGAATTTAATCTTTCTAAAACTGAGGTATAGGTTAGCCCTGTTTCCCAGAACGGGTACCTGGGAGTTAGTTGGGTTTTTTTAATAAAAGCAGGACACCTCCCTCTGCAGTTTTCTGCAGCAGTTCTCTGTGTTCTGTCAAGTTTAAGATTGCCAGGGCAAGTGTGTTGTGTTTACAGATGCCAGCCCAAGGAGGCTCTGCTTGCCTCTTGAGACAGTTTGCTCCTTCTCTGTGTGTTGTGGATGCTTCTGTGAAGCACATCTGGACGCTCAGTGTGAAAAACGGGCTGGTTTACCTCAGTTACGTATTCATCTGAAAAGCACCCGAGCTTCGCAGTACGTACCAGGCAGTTACGCGCTGTTCTCTGAAGTGGGCTGAGTATGAAGAAACTGCAGCCCGTGTTAGTCGCTCTGCCTTTTCCGCAGCGTGAAGAGCTGGGAGGGACAGGCCAAGCTGCAATACTGGTGTTAATGTGGAAATGCCCGGGTCAGCAGCAGCTCAGCTGCCCCTTCTGGGGGATGAAGCCTGCCACGCTGCGTACGGTTTGTACCTGGCCGTCAAAGCTCTGCTTTGGTGCTGCTTCGTAATTGGACGTGACCCTACAGAACGCTGTAGGGATCTTCCACAACACCCAGTTACCTCTTTTTGATCTTGCTGCTGGAGAGAGGGAGAGAGACCTGTGGGTTGTGTTTTGGTGGTTTTTTAAGACGAGTGAAGTCACCTTGACTGAAAAGTCTTTGACATGTGTTGCTTAGCTGCTGATAACAGGCTTCAGTTCTGCTGGCCGGGAGTATGTGACTTGGGCTGGCTGGAAGCTACGCAGCAGTGGAGGTCAGAAGGACATGGCAGTGTGTTTAAGATGTTGCGCGTTTGAGGAAAGAAATGGAAGTAATGTTTGGGTGTTTCGTGCACACGCAGTAAGAGATTGTAAGGTTAGACACTAAGAACTTCGCTTTTACTGGTGCGATGCTGGGGCTGGGAGTTGAGAAGCTTGAATTGAAATGAGAGGGGTGAAGGCTTGTGGGGTTCGTGGGTTTGGGTGCGGGGGTTTCCCCCATGGCTTAGGACCATGTACGTGTAAGCAAACATGAAGTTTTGTAAATAACTCCTACCAAAGTTGAACTGATACTGCCTGGGAGGCGGGAAATACCTTTTTGGTCTGTGCTGAGCCTACTGCTAGCAATAACAAAAACATACTGTCTCTACGTACCTTTTTGGAGGGGCAGTGTAATATACTGGAAAGTCTGGGGTTTTTTTCTTTTAAAAAAGTGTGCTGCAGAAAACCTAATTAGGATTCTCCTGTTTGCATTCTGTGCATATGAAAGGCTTGAAAATTAACATCATAATACATACCCATGTATTCAGGTCTTCCTGACTGACACCAGGCTACCCAGTCTCAGCGTAAGGGTTACCAAAGGGAACCACACCTCAGTTGCCACCTTAGAAATAGTCGTCTAAGGTTAAATAGGAGTATTCTGCAAAAGATTGTTCATTAGCTCGTAATATAAACTTAGGGATGGGGCGGGGGCATAGCAAAATAACATCATTCTGGCACTTCTGCTTTAAATGAAAGGTGGTTTCCCTCTGATAGAAGGAGTTGTGAGCTCTGATCACTGTAGTGCTCCAGAGAAGATTCGAGCGTAGGCACTGGATGCAGTAACAGCTGTCGCTAACTGGGTGAAGGCAGGTGGCTCCTCCGAAGCACTGGACAAAAAACTGCTTTGAAGAGTTTGTTTTGTTCTAATCAAGCTTAAAATGAGGCAAAGTATTAACATGTGGACCTATTCCGAATACTACAATGCTTAATTGATACAGCTTTAATCTCAAAGTAGTTGTTAACTTCATGTTTTCTTCTTCTTAGGGTTAGCAGATAGGTTTGAAGAGTACCCAAAACTTAGAGAGCTCATCAGATTGAAGGATGAGCTGATATCTAAATCTAACACTCCTCCCATGTAAGTGTTCCTGCGGAAAATGCCTTTCTTCTCCAGACCTGTTTGAAGTTAGCTGTCTGCTTTGCAAAACTTTCTCTGTAGCACCTGCTCAGAATTTACATTTTCTGTTTCTGTTTGTATATACACATTAATCAACTGAGACTTCAGAAGAATAAAATCAGTTTGGTTTTGTTAATTTAATCTAGATGTTTAATATAGTGTATAAACCAGATTTTCTTTCCAGTGTGTGATTATTTATAGTCTCTAAAGCTTTGCCTTTTAAGACTGAACTGTCAGCTGGTTGGGCTGCAGGCTTTGCTGTGGGAACTGAAGAACATCACATGGTCGCGAATCTTGTGATGCCATGCAGTTTACAGCAACAAGAAAAGCTTTCAAAAGCGGCCTCTCAGTGTTAGCGTAGTTGTTCCTCTGACAGCTGTTTTTTATAATGTGCAGCTATTATCTTAGTACCACTAATCAGATGTCACTGTATAGTTTGAGACCAAAAAAAGTTTAGGCTGGCTGGAGCTGATTTTCGGATTACCCGAGTCTTGACTGAAGGTTGGACGCAGCGGAAGCGTGCGGCATGTTACTCCAGGAGTCTGAACCTCTCTGAGTGTGAACCTAATGCTTTTGACGTGCTGCGGGCCGAGTCTGTACCGAGTGCAATAGCAGCATGTCACGATAGCCACGTGACAAACTCAAGCAGTTGAACAACTGAGCGCAGACTGCAAAACTCAGCGTGCTGTTCTGGAGTTAGATGCATTTTGACCGCCTTAGCCAAAGTCTTACAGCACAGAAAGGGGAAAAACAGTGATCAAATGCTGCCTTCTGATTACTGTTCTGCAGGTGTGCTTGGTGTTATCTTTTCCAGACCCTTTCCTAGGGGGTGGTCTGCTATTCAGCACTTTATTTAAAGGGGTTGAGGAGAGGGCAGTGTAATGTTTTGGGTAGTGATAGAGCAGAGAGCGGGGTCAGCTGTGGAGGGCAGTTGCACGGAAGCCCGTTAGCCAGGCAGCGAGTGTTTGCTGCTTAAATGGTGACGGTGTCTCCGATGTAGTCCGTGGATGTACAGAAAGCTCACTGATTCTGTACTAGACACTGTTGTACAGTCTGCATGGGTACCCGTTTGCTGCTGGCTAAATTGGAACTCTAAAAACTGTTTATTGAGAGAGAGACTACTTTCTAAAAAAACAGAACACCAGCAGCACCCGGCCGGGGGGAGGGGAGGATGCTCGGTGCATCTCCTCTGGGCTTGGTGCGCTCGAGCCCTGGGAACTGCTCGGGAGACCCCACTCTTAGCTGGCCACGCAGGCGTGTCTGCGGTGTAACTTCCACTGTTATAACCTGTCCAGCCAATCCATCGTCTTCTGTTCAAACAGGTACTTACAGGCAGACTTGGAAGCTTTTGATATTAGGGAACTGAAGTCCAAATTTGATGTGATTCTCCTGGAACCGCCACTGGAAGAATACTACCGGGAGACTGGCATTACGGCCAATGAAAAATGCTGGACCTGGGATGATGTAAGTGGTGTTCTTGCTCTGTAAAGGGTTTCATGCAGGTACTGCAGAAAATAGTTTGAGGATTTAATTTGGTATCAAAATGTTTGAGATGTGTTTTGAGGAAAAATGGGATATGTTGTTTTTAAAGAAAAGTCTAGATTCTTACAAAAGCAGATTTATATTGTATGCGTGCCTACGCTGTTTGTGTTAAAAGACTTCCTTTTGAGGAGTTCAATGAATTAAAGACACCTTTTTCTTCTCCCTAAGGCTGGTTGAAAATCTGATGATGATGGGATTTCTCCCTACCCTCAAATTCCATGAGTTTTTTTTTCTGTTTGCTTTTTGTTGTTGAAATTCAGAATATCCGTTGTAAATATTCCCTTGTTTCTTGAAATTCTCAAAGAGCTTTTTATGGTGTGCCTTTAATACTCTGGCCTTGTAGTCAGAAGGGTAGAGCTTCACTGACAGCTCCTTTCCCCAAAGTATTGATGGGGTAGGAAATTTCAACTGATTGTTAACCAGTTGTAATCCTGAGAAGCCGAACAAAATAGATAAACCTCACTCGTGGATTTTTATCTTGTATTTCTGTATGCCATTACTGTTTAGTCACATCGAAGGGGTTGGTTTTTTTTGAAGGCACGTTGATTTCGGACCTCCTTTTTTGGGAACAGGGAGAAATGTTACTGTGCAAGATGTGATCTTTCTGAGATTGCTGGTGGTGCTCTCATTTCACTGTGCTCTAGTCAATGTTTAGAGATTGGAGTTAGAGGGAAGATCTTAAAATTCTTTCTGCAGCACTTGTAAAGAAGGAAACCCTCCAGATGCACTGATGGGTAACTCCATTCTGTATCTATCCCTTTTCAATGAAGTCAGCCCTGGAAAAGCCAGGGGAGGGCTGGAGGCTAGGAAGTGCTAGATGCTGTCAAGTGTAACAAGTTTTGGTGACACAAAGCCCGCTGCCACCTTGTCCTGGCCTTTGAGATTGAACAGAGGGCTCCTTCCCTTGGGAACTGAATAACAAACTCGTAATACCGATGTCAAATAGTGATAAATCAGTGCTACTCTGTCTCTACACTTCAGTAATTTAAAAAAACCCAAACCACCAACGAAACCGAACAACCCCACCCTCACAACAAACCAGACAGTCTGCAGTAGAGAGGAACAGTTGATTAAGAACCATTTGCATACCCCGGTCAGGTATTCTGGGGTGCAGGCATGTGGGTGGGAGTATGCAGCTCACAAATACCTGTTACTGGGAGGCCCTGTTTGAAAGGCGTGCGGGACTCCGTCTGCATGAGCGGCAAACTTGTCACAGTGTGAGTGAGACTCAGTCGACTGCAGCAGTTGTGCTGAGCTTTTCCTACCCGTGTTGGCTGCAGGCTGGGGGAGGGAGGTGGTGGTGTGATGTTTAAACCAGATTTAGTTGGTCCATAGGCTGAAAGCCGCAGGTGCGTAACTTCGGCTGTGAATCGCTCAAACCAAAGGGTCATGAGAACAAAATAAAACTCAATCCCCCGAGAAGGAATGAGTTTGAAAGCAAAGGCGTTGGTGGTAAGACAAGGAGTTGGTAGCTTCTCTCTTAGTTGTTCTGTTACACCAGGCAAAAATGGTGCCTGGCAGTGTTTCCCCAGGGAAAAAGCATCCCGTCCAAAGAGGAAGAACTGGAAGTGTTGGAGGCAGGAGTCATCCTCTTAGGAGTTACATCCTCTTGGAATGCCTTCTACTGCATTATTTTTCTGCACAGTGGCACTGAATGAAGCTTGATTTGATGTGTTAGCAAGTTACAAGTTGGAAAGATTCATCTGTAATGAGTAACAGATGCTTTGCATCTGAAGTTATTTCATCCTGAGTGTTACTCACTTGCCATTGTTGAACCACTGTCCTGATAAACTCTTGCCTCTTTTTTCCTGAGATGGAATGTCTTTCCCATACAGCAAGAGGAATTAAGCTTTTTTTTCAATAACATGTCTTGAAGTTTCACCTAAGGAACTCCAGGGCTGAAAAGAAACAGAGCCCTATTGCTCTGTTGTTAAACCTTTTTGCTACCCATGGAATGATAAAATGAACCAGAGGTTTAGGGGAAAAACAAAATCATGTGGTTTGTATCAGTCTTTTAAGTCTAGAATTTTCTATACAGATAGAATTTCTGTTCAAAAGAAGAATTTAGCTGGTCGTCAGCAACGTTGAAAACATGCACTTGGGTACTGATAAGGTAACTTGTACGACAGCCTTTCTGGAAAACCGCGTTAAGAGGGTGGTTGTGAATGGCATACAGGCTAACATCTTGTTGAAAGTGCTTCCTGATGGTCTGTGTGACAGTGTTTCAACGCTTAAGTATTCCTCCTGATGTCACTGGTGATATGCATTTAATTCAAAAACGCTTTTCTTACCATTATTAGATCATGAAACTGGAGATTGAAGAAATTGCAGCCCCAAGGTCATTTGTGTTTCTCTGGTGCGGTTCGGGCGAGGGTCTGGACCTTGGCCGAGTGGTAAGATGATGTTTTAATTCAATTTGTCAGGGACGGGCTTAAGAGTTTATTTTTATCGCTGGCTCTGTCTGTATAGAATTGCCAACTGTAACTGCTGAGTGTTTTTTTTAAGAGGACTCTTAATAGCTTTCTGCCAGGAATACTTAGCGAGTAGAAAGGTGCTGCTGTTTCATAAAGGGAGATAAAATTGTGTGTGTAGCCCTGCTTTATTTCAGAGAACACCTGGAGTTTAAGTAGCTTTACTCTTGGTGAGCTCTACAAAGTTCTACTTCCTACAAGATCTTGGAGTGAGTCCTGTGTCTGTAGGCCGCGGTAGCGCTGCATGTGCTGGGGGTGGCGGAATAACAATTTCCAGTCAGCTCTTGCCATGCTGAAACATTCTCCGCCTGGTTTGTGCAGCACCTTCCACTAAAACAGCATGGCATTTGCTAAAGGACCACAGGTGGTTACTACTCTATTTTACCTGCTTTTCACTGGGAGGTGGCTACGTAGCTGGTTTGGATAGACTGGTTTTGGTCACAGACATGTCCCGGCAGCTGGGCAGTCCTTGAACACAGCAGTAGCCGAAGGAGCTCCGTAATGCCCTGACTGCCCCCCTTTCCCAGACTATCCTTACAGGAGTTAAGGATTAAAAAGAGATGCAGGTTTGATGTGTGTTTGGGGTTTTTTGTGGGGTTTATTTTCGGTTTTGTTTGTTTTTTACTCAACACAGGAGACCCCACAAAGCAGTAGCAAAGGCTTTTGGCTCCTTACCTTCCCACTCAGCGTTTTACACTGATGGGAGAAGCTACGAGAGTGCAGATATTAGTGGACAGGGCCACGGCAGCTGATCGCTGTTGCTCAGGCTGATTGTGGTTAAATTTAAGCATCATTAGGTAAAAATGAGGGCAGAGTTCCATAGGGGATCTGTGCAGCGGTTGGATAGTTAAAGGGAAAGGAAGGGTGATGCCTAAGCAAGTGGATGTGCACATAAGCCTCTTTGTAAAATTTGCTGGGGGCAGCTTGACAAAACATAGTGGAGTTGTGCCAGAAAACTGTTCCATTCATCTGCAACACGTTTCTCCTCCACTAGTGCTTTAAGGAAAGTCACGTGCCTGTGTGAGTGTTGGGTTTAGGTTGCTGAAGTCTTTGGTGTCGTGTGAACTGTTTTAACCTTTTGTAATATCTAGTGTCTACGCAAGTGGGGTTACAGGAGGTGTGAGGACATTTGTTGGATTAAAACGAATAAGAACAATCCTGGAAAGACCAAGACTCTGGACCCTAAGGCTGTTTTCCAAAGAACCAAGGTAAAGGTTTGGCTCCATTTCTCCTCCACTCCCATCCTGTCTCTGTGCTAATGAAACTCCCAGTGCTCCACGGCCGTTGGTGATGTGCTCAGAGGAAAGCTGACACAGGGACTGCAGGGTTCGGTCCTGCCAAGTGCATTACATGGAAATAAGTGTATTCACAGGATGAACTTCTGCCTCCTTGACTTCAGTCAGTGTGAGGCATAGAAGTTTCACCCTCATTTAACGCTGCCTGTTAAATTTCTGTTGGAGTCCTTTAAATGTGAAACGTGATGCTCCTTTGAGCCTTGTTTGACGCGCAGGTAGCTGAGGAGGGTTCGTGGGCTGATGGACCGAGAATGAGAGGGAAGATGCAGACTGATCGGAGGACGTGACTGTATGTTGCAGTGTTTCTGCCTGCTGGGTTGTTGGGGTTACGGGTGACCCTTAGTCAGCAGTTAGCCTGTTAGCAGCAACTTGTGTGAAACGCCAGCTCCCTCCTACGTCAGAGGAGGAAGTGTGCTGGCAGAGGGTCACCTTTGAATGGAACTAAACTTAGCCGTAGACCTGGACTGTTTCCTGTCAAGAGAAGCCTTTAAAACTGCAGATTGCAAAGAGCTGCAGTCCTAAGAAATGTCTCTGGAAGACCGGCTCGTGGTTCTCGATACACGCGTGCAGGTGCATGCCCAGCGCCTGAACCAGGTAGAGGGGGGCTGTTCGGGGCTGCAGCTCAGTCCGTGTCTCCCCGAGGGGACTGTGGTGCGCAGGTGAACGGGATCAGGCAGCTGGCTTAAAGCAAACGGTTTCCTAGGCCTGCGGTGCGGAGGGGGTGTGGAAGGAGCTGCAGAGGAAGTGTTGTGCCTTAGAAGGCCCGTGTGTATTATTCAAAACCAGAAAACTGTAGATCGCATTTATAAAGAAATGCTTGGGTATATGTGGGTGTAACTGGCAGCTCTACTGAACACAGACTTGGCTGAGAGTTTGATAATTTCAGGTGTCATTAACCACAGGACTCGTTCCACATTCATTAATTAATCATTCATTAGTATTAAACATCCTCAGCTCTGTCTCAGATCGGCCGTCTTTCAGGAGTACAATCTTTCCTTCAGGAGACCTGGATTCTTTCTCTGGCTTGCATTTACATTAACCTGAAGTTTGTTTGTTTGACAGTGTGTGGTATGAGTTGTAAATACAAGTATTGCATGTTTATGGCAGAGACACCGCAGGTCTGTGCGGCCTGCTGGCGAGGGAGAGGGCTATCCCTGTTGAACGGAGGAGGAAAGCTGCTGCTGTCGGGCAGTTTGTGTGTTCGAGCAAGGGTTGGGCTGAGGTCGCCGTTGGTAACAACCGCTGCCGACTGAGCTAGCCGATTCGGACTAAATGAATAGTCCGCTGTGCGAGATGCATTTACCGGCGACAGCATCAGGAAATGCTGTCCTCTCACGGTAGCGTAGGCCTTCCTGTAGGTGGAGGCTGTGTGCTGTGCCACCGGTTACAGAACCTAAGGCACTAGGGAGTGACGTTCCCTGGGTTCTGAAAAGAAAGTGTTTTGGCTGGTGCCTCTAAAGACTTAGAGCTACGAGGCTTCTCTTGAGGGGTAATGTGCTTAGCTGTGTTCTGCCTCTTTAGTGAGTTAAATTTAAGGCCACAAACCCTGTAGGTTGGGTGTGGTTGGCCAGCTGCACAGATTTGATAGGTCACCTATTCCGCCTTTTGCATTTACTCACTAACTCTTAACACCCATGCCACCACCAGGCAGTGATGGCACGCTGTTGTCTGCAACTGTTTGAGAGCCATCTCGTGGCGCTTAGCAAATCAGCGGTTTATGATAATGGGGAAAATCACTGCTCTGAGATTAATATTCCCAGAAACGGAACTGAAATGAGTGTCTAGAGCCCTCTCTCCATCCCGTACCAATCACGGTGGTTCCTCGCTCGCAGGGTCTACATACTGGTCACTGAAACTGATCATTGAATTGGTGTTTGAGAGGGAAGGAAAGCAACGTGTATTACAGATGAAGAACATTTCTGATGCTGATGGGACTGACTGAGAGCAGGTTGATAGTGAATTTACTTTTTTGATGCAGCAATACTAGGAAGGAATCTGAGGGTAAAGGATACTTTTGTAACAGAGGTGCAATGTGAAAAGTACATCTTAACTTTTGCTGACCGGCTCTTTTATGACCAAGAACTTGGAAAATTATTTACATGATAAAGTTAGGATCAGAATGCTGATACAAATATCAGTCATGAAATGGTTTGGGTTGGAAGGGACCTTAAAGACCATCCAGTTCCAACCCCCCTGCCATGGGCAGGGACACCTTCCACTAGACCAGGTCGCTCCAAGCCTCATCCAGCCTGGCCTTGAACACTTCCAGGGATGGGGCATCCACAGCTTCTCTGGGCAACCTGTCCCAGCACCTCACCACCCTCTCCAGGAAGAACTTCTTCCTGATATCCAACCTAAATCTCCCCACTTTCAATTTAAACCCATTACCCCTTGTTCTGTCACTACAGGCCCTTGTAAAAAGTCCCCCCCAGCTTCCTTGTATCGTAATTAACTACTATTCCCTTACTCTTGCCAGCAGCTTGTACTTTCTTTCCTTGTGGTGATTTCTCAGCCTTTCCAACTTAAAGCTTTAACTTTGCTGTTTGAAGAAGTTCAAATATCTCAGCTTCTACTTGAGTTTTACCTCTTTGTAGGGTAGTTCATCAGGCCAGACAGCTTAAACTACTCTGCTGTGTTTTCAAAAGGCTCCTTGGGTAGCTCCAGCCTGTTCTGTTTTTCTAGCTCACCCTTCAGGCTTTCCTCTGTGTAAGAGCAGGATCTGCTCCACCCAGCATTGCCTTTGCTGTCCGTTGTGCTCAAACCGTGGACGCCTGCGCTGTGGCAGTACGTGCGGGGCGTGACGGGTACTTTCTGTCTTCTGTGTGCATAGGAGCACTGCCTCATGGGCATTAAGGGAACTGTGCGTCGCAGCACGGATGGTGACTTCATCCATGCCAACGTCGACATTGACCTCATCATCACAGAAGAGCCGGAAATTGGCAACATAGAAAAACCCGTAGAGATTTTTCACATCATCGAGCATTTCTGCCTTGGCCGCCGCCGCCTTCATCTCTTTGGAAGAGACAGTACGATCCGACCAGGTAACAGTTACGTTCGTTGGTGTCAGAGTTGAATTTTAGTTTACTTAGTCACCCTCTTCCATTGTCTGAGGCCGCTTGACACGTTCCGGTGGCAGCTGAGACAGTTAATCTGCACGTGTGGCCCTTCTGGCAGGGCTTGCGCCAGCCGAGTAACCCTGTATTTCTGCACATAACCCCGCTTCCCCCACTACGGGCTCGTGATGCCTCAGAAGGCCAGGTGACCTTCTTGGTGACTTCTCCAAAGTGGAAGTCCAGTCAGGAGTGAGAAAATCTACCGGATGGAGGAATTTCCCTGGGTTCCTACTCTCCCATCCAGATAACCAGCCAGCCTGGTATGCCACAACGGGTGTGTGTCATCACGTGACAGTTCTCCCAGCACAGGGAGAGCAGCAGAGGGACCTTAACTCTCATTAACGTTCTGTCCCTCATCAGCCAACAGCAGAAAATTTAGCAAGAACTGAAAGATCTGACGTGCGTTTTCCTACCAAGAATGTCTGTCTAGGCTGAGCCTCGGCCCACGCTGCAGTGGCATTACACGGATCCCTGATAAGTGCTACTGCAGTTGAACTGTAACTTACTGTTATGTCCGGGAGCCAGACCGTGTCACAAACGCAGTTTCATACTGCTTACTGTTAAGTTCTGGTTTATAAACACTCTTTTTTTTTAGAATTAAATACTTGCTGAGACAGTAAGACCTTTACGCTTTTGTTTTCTCCCTGTTATCTGTAATTGGAGACAAATGCTGGAATTATTCAGTGTTCTACTGGAATGCCAAAATGTGTAATTTCTGTCTTTTTGATTCACAATCTGAGTATTTCCTTTCTATGAAACTTTTTATTTTTGGACTTAATATGGAAGTAAACATCACACTAGCTCTAAAATTGGAATGTCTTAACCACGTGCAAGACAGTAGTAGAATTCTCTGCTTGCAAAACTTCCCTTAGTGTCTTACCAAGGTTTCCAGATCTACATCACAGGCCAGAGAGTAGATCTCAGGGAGGTAGATCTTTGGTTGATGTGAAGATCTGTCAGTCACCAAACTCTGTTGTTTGGAAAGTTGATGACAGCTGTCAACTGTCAGTTTTTTCAGAAGAAAGTGTGTTGTTAGCCAGCATTTTTGCCTGCTTGTGTGTTCAGTTCATCAGTGACTACCACAAGATTCAGCTGTGGCTTTTTTCCCCATTGCCATGCGTTTACACTTCTCGGAAGCACGATTGATTGGTTTCTTTCTCTAAACTGATTTTTAAATCCCTGTGAGCTTGGTGCCTTCTTGTTTGTTTTGTTTTTAACATGCTGGAAGCAAAGTAAATGTTACGTAAATTCCCAGGGTAGAGAGCGCAGTGTTGAAGAACTGATCTTGGGGTTTTATTCTCACTGTCCTTATAAGCACGTTGTTGAGATCACCGAGCTATGTTTTTCTTCACTGATAACAACTGAGAAGGAAATTCCTCCTGTGAGCTTGGTGCCTTCTTGTTTGTTTTGTTTTTAACATGCTGGAAGCAAAGTAAATGTTACGTAAATTCCCAGGGTAGAGAGCGCAGTGTTGAAGAACTGATCTTGGGGTTTTATTCTCACTGTCCTTATAAGCACGTTGTTGAGATCACCGAGCTATGTTTTTCTTCACTGATAACAACTGAGAAGGAAATTCCTGCTATGAGGTGCAGCCACTCCTGTAGCTCATAACACGAAGCTCATAAAATGCCTGCTGCCTGGATCCAGTTGGGCCTGGACCCAGTTGGCGATGCTGAAAGTTTGCGTGTAAACAGGCTTAATTTAATGCTTTAAGTTCTCATTTCCTATCCCGTGGGCTCGAACAGAGTTGTTCTTCCATTGCGTTCTCAGGTGCGTGCTTCCAGCGTGCTGTGCTCCTGCCTGCGCTCACGGCTGGTTTCTGCAGGCAAAATCGCCTAAGTTAGAATGGCTTTTAAAAGGGGAGGAGGAGGAAGATGATGTTGTTTTCAGTCTAGGTGAATTTACTGATCTGCTTTAGTCTGGTCCCAGAGGGGCTGGAAAATTCTGTTGTGGTGTAGGGAGTAGTAGGAAGTAGTAGGAAGGAGGGGAGAGGGGTCTTGTGGAGCCAGAGGGTGAGTGTTCCCATTGCCATGAGACAGAAAAGGAAAGCAGCCCTTAGAAATACCAACCTAAAACTGTACTTTTCCACAACTCTGCATTTCCTAGAAGTGACCTTTTCGTTCAGTTCCATGCAGGTAAGGCCTGTCCCTGTCACTCGAGTGCTGGTTCACTGGGGGAGAGACGGTATGGCCTTGCAGGATGCAGTTTGTTCCTGCCATTGTTGACTCCGGTTCTCTTCCCTAGGCTGGCTGACTGTAGGACCCACCCTCACAAACAGCAATTTCAACGCAGAAACGTATTCTTTGTACTTCACGGCTCCGAATTCCCACCTGACCGGCTGCACCGAGGAGATCGAGAGACTTCGGCCCAAGTCCCCGCCACCCAAGTCCAAGTCTGACCGGGGAGGTGGTGCTCCCAGGGGAGGAGGACGAGGAGGGACTTCAGCAGGCCGAGGAGAAAGGGGCAGAGAGAGGAACAGAACTAACTTCCGGGGCGAGAGGGGTGGCTTCAGAGGGGGCCGCGGAGGTACCCACAGGGGGGTCTTCCCCACCCGCTGACGACTTAGGTAATTGCTCCTTCCCCCGGTCCTGTGCCTCATTTCTGAATCTCTTTCTTAGTCTTGTTTTTGCTGAAGGGAATTGTTTGGGGACTCAAGCTGGATGACTTTCCAAACGGGTTTTGGAGCGAGCAGTTGTGGATTGGCGGCCTCTCCGTGACCGGCCTGGTGGGCAGGGTCCTGCACCCCACAGTGCTAAACTCTGCCTCCTGAGCTGCCCTTTGTCAAGGCAGGTGGCTCCATCTCTTCAGACCTCACGTAGCACTGAAGTGAAGGTGCTTGCTCTTCCCTCATGGAACTTGCAGGTTGTGGGCTGCATTAACGGTCACCCTCTCCAAAACACTGCTTCCTCTTCCTCCTCTGGAGGTTCAGGTTTGGACGGGCTTGGATGAGTGCGATGGAGTGGAAATGCAGTTCAGAACTGCATGGCCAGGGCAGACTTACTCTCCTGTTCATGGAATACCAGTGCTGTGTCCCTGTCGACACCTATTTTAACTACTCTGAAACCAAGGAGCACACTGAATAAATAGAATTCTATTTTTTCTTATGTGGCTTAAATTTCCCAAATTATTCTGGGAACGGGGAACAAGCTAAGCTTTCCTTTGTGGCCCATCTGCACTCACTTTCCATGCTGGTAGTGCAGAGTGGTAGTTCTGTGCAGTTGTGTGTTGTGCTTCCTGGAGAGCAGGAAGCTGTGTGCTGATGCGCAGCGCAGAGCGTCTGCATGGGGCTGGCATCCATGGGGGGCTCTGCCCCAGCGGCCGTTGACAACAGCCCCCCTCTGAGGCAGGGAAAGGCAGGTGATTCGCGGTGCGATTGCGGGGTCAGCAGTAGGGAGGCCGTGTTGGAGGCCCAACGGGAGCTGAGGCGAAGCTGTAGGACTGAGCGCTTCCTGAAGATCGTTGCCTGGGTATCGGGGCATAGGAATGGAAGGGAGTGTTGTGCTTTGCCTGTTCCACGTGTTGGGAACAGACTGTTGGCGATCAGCTCCAGAGTACAGCGTGAAAAGAAAGCAATTCGCTTCGGCATGCCTGGTACTTGTGTTTAGCAGAACCACAGCGCTGAACGTCTCGGTCCGTACTTGGTGGGCCCAACAGCCCTGACTGTTGAAGTCTCTATCTTAGGTGTTGGAAAACCGGCTTCCGGGTCTCGAAATGCTTCTCTATCCCAGCCTAGCTTTTAAGTAACTGTCCTGTAAAGTTGTGGATTATTAAACTTGTTTATCAAAGCTAATGTGGAAATATTTCTCTTCGTATTTTGTAGGTTTACTCTCCTTGAGGCTTTTGGAATTACGGAGTTTTACTGTGGTTTCCCCCCTCCTGTTGTAGAAGAGCAGGTAGTGACGCTCCTTTTGCTGCGTGACCCTTAGCGCGGTTGTTGTTAGGGCCTGGCCTTGGCGATGCATGTGCTGAGGGACCGCTGCGCGTGAAACTCGCCTGCGGTTTACGCTCCCCTTCTTCCCGCGCTGCGTTCGCCCCTCTGAAGAGTGACTGGGGTTGGGGCAGGGGGTGCTCCTCTGACCGTGGGGAGGGCTGCCGAAGAGGACTTGGAGCAGCATCAGGGAGAATTTACGTGCCACAGTAAGAACACTCTCTCCTGATTTTGCCCCGATCGTGTTCTTACTCAAAACGTCAGTCCCGGAGACACTTCACCTTAGGAAGGCTGCTTCTGTGCCGGTGACTAATCTTTTTCTGTTTTCCATTAGTAGAAAATATTCATTCCTGTGTCCCCTTTTTAATCAGCTGTCCGTGGCTGATTGTTCAGTGCATAGATAGGAGTTTAGGCTGTGCTGAAGAGGAGACTCAACACAAAGGGGTTGCGATGTGCTGCTGTATCAGTTGGCAGAAGTTGGGGTGCTGCTCAACACTTCAGTGATTTGGGAGGTTTAACTGCATGTGGTCTTTAAAACAAAAACCCTCTACCCAGTGAGTCCCTGCTGAGCATGCAGTGTTAGGTTTCTCGGGTTTTCCCCTCAAGGCTGAAATAGTGCAAGTCGTGTAAGGAAAAAAGAGCACCGCTCCCGAGAGCATGGCGTTGGATCTCTCTGTGGTCGGGCACTTCACAACCCCCCGAGTTACCCAGTGGAAACATCTGACCGTTTTCTAGTAACCGGTGGTCTGGACCGTCCCTAAAGTGGTGTGTAGAGATAAAAGCTTGCCGTTCCATTGGTGGTTGTCAGTTAATGTCTCGGTTTTGATGCTTTACCAGGAGGAGGAGGATAATGCTCATAAGGAGCGAACTAATGAGTATTTCATTTACCACAGTTAAATGAAGGTGTAATGTGAGCATGCTGTCCTTGAAGATAAAAAGGCTAACGTGTTTCTCCCTCCCCAGTTTTATTAAATGAATAGTGGCATCGGTCTGATTTCTGGATCGTCATGTCTTTCCATTCTGAAAGAGGCATAGTGTACTTGGAATACCTTACACCCTCTATGAATCCATTGAAGGGTTCGGCGGTTGCACTGACAAGATGCTCGGGAAGCCTTCCGCTTCAGAGGGATTTTAAGACATCAGTCAACTGCAATCATTGTGTGCCAATCCAGCTGTCAGCTGGAGCAGTCGTGCGGCACAGCTGGCTGGAAGAGGTTGGTGGAAGCGCTGGATGTGCTGTGCAGTGCTCTCGGGTTTGGAGTTTCCTCCCCAGCGGGGTGTCAGGAACGCAGGCTCCCTGCGTGTGTTGACACCGAACGCCTTGATGGGTGGAGTGGAATTGAGGCTGACAGCTAAAGAGCAGTTTTGAGCTGACAGTGGAAGTTGAGTGGTGTTGAGTGGGATCGACTTTCAGCGTACTGAGATGGGATATGGCCCTTGGCGGGGGACAGAGGTATCCAGAATGCACTCTGGAAAAGAATGCATGACACTAAAAGCCCATCACATTGAAAACATTCTAGTTTTTTTCTTTCCTGAATGTGGCTTTTTCAGGATACACTGAGTAACTGAATGTGCTGGAGAGGGAGGCCTGCTGCTCTGGGTATGGCAGGTAAACACGTTCTCCTTCCAAAACTCGTAAAGTGGGTGGAACTTGACTGCTGTGGTAGAACTCGCCCAGTGTAGTGGGATGAAGGTCAACTTAAACATGGGGGAAAGCCTGCTAACCCTTTTTGTAATAGGGTGGTTCTCATGGGTGAAAAAGCAAGCAGTAGTAAGTTCTGTGGCAAAACATGATGTAATTTTTAGTATAATTACTGCTGCATTGATTAAAAAGAAAGGCCTAACTACTGTAACTCTTGAGTTTATGCTGGAGACAGGAATTGCACTTGCAGTGTGACAGCTGCTGTATCCACGTCCGTCTGTGTCTTGGTGCTGGTTTAGCCATGATGTCTTACTGTAGGTGAATCAGCTGAAAGGCTAGAGCGCTGATGCAGCAGCCATGACGGATAAATAGCTTTGTCCTACTAAAGCTTTGCTCCAAATGACATCTCTGCGCCCGAAATCCTGGCTCGCCGTGGCCGCGCCATCGCACAGGTAAGCGACAGGTACGCTTTGCTGCAGAATCAGATCTTGGTGTAGGACAGGTCACCCTGAAGCAGCTGGTCAGTGTTGGTTCTGTGGCCCAAACCGACCAGGTAGAAGATGCATACAGCTGTGGTGTAGACACTGTCTTCTGGGCATTGGCAAACTCCACGGAGTAAGGTAAGGAAATGGGTTTTGGAGCAAGCATGGCTGAGGCAGGTGCAGTCAGGGGGGAGCAGCTCAGCAGCCCCCTACCCCCAAGGGGAAACCCTCACTGCAGTTGAGGTGAACTTTGTTCAGCAGCTCAGCACAAGCACTGCCCTAACTACGCTGCCTTATGCTGTGAGAATTGCTGCATCTCCCCATTTCCTCACTTGCTTGGCAAGTGATTTTTTTCTAAACCAGTTTACCTGCCAGGCTGTTCTGGCTCATGCGAGTCAAACCAGGCTCTTTTGGCACGTTTGAGTCTTAGTTTGAGCAGGTCCCTGTGCAGTAACTGGGACTGATGCAAACAGCAGGAACGCACGGGGAAAGCCGGGTAAACTTGGCTGTCCTTGAAGTCCCAGCAGGAGAAGGTGACCTGCAGTGGTCGTGGTCACTAATTGTTGAATGTGCAGCAGTTTGTGCTGTGTAGGAGTTACTCTTGCTAATTGAACTTTGTGTGGTTCCCAGCTCCTGCAGTCAGTGTAACAACCTTCCTGTGCTGTGTGGCTGCACCTATGGACAAAGAAAGGAGTGAAGGTGCAGGAACCCCGAATCCAGTTTTTGGGGCCAGGTGCCCTAAGCCACCCTCTGTAGTGGCCTGAGGTATGAGGTTTAGGTGCTGCTCTTTGAGGGTGTTGGACAGCTTTTGGCAGAGGCTGACAGCATAAAAACCCCTTAGAGAACTTAGTACGTGAAAGAATAAACACACGCATCATGACTACATTTAATAACTGCTTATGTCTTTACACGAAGAGTTGCTGGTGTCACTTTACAAAGTACACTGATTTGGAATGGCAACAAACATGTCTTCCAGGGTGATGTCTGCAGCTAGGAAGTGCCTGTCTTGGCAGCTGATTCAGTCCGAGCATCCTTCCGTACTATAGGCACTCATTTGAAAAGCTTTCAGTCAATGCACAAGGAAGCAACAGTTCTGATAAGCAGTCAAGGTGCGTAGTTTTTGGTGACTGCTTATCTTGGGTAATGGGACGATTAACACTTAAGTAGCAACATTAATATGTTTAAAGGCACTTTTTTTTTTTTTTAATGAGGCCCAACTCTTGCCCTTCCTTCTGACTGAAACACTGATTGCTGTAACAGCAGTGCTTCCGGTTTGGAAAAGAAGTTTTTCGTGATGCGTGTCCCTTCCAGGGAAAAGGTGCTTCCGGTTTGGAAAAGAAGTTCAAGCCTGGGATGCAGAGAGGTCCTA